GCCACTGCGAGTGCATCTGCATAATCATTAAGGGCTAAACCTTTATGCCCGGGTATCGACACCAGTATTAGCGTCGGTATCTGCACCAGTTCACGTCTTCCTCCTCTTCTACTCTCCCGGCTCCTGGCCGTTGCAATATGCACAAGAGCAAAGTCACGTGCAGCAGACTCGGCAGAAAACACTTCTTTGTGATAAGTAGAAAGGCGCTGCAAGTTTTAAAAGCTTCTGTCTAAAAGGACAGGTTGTAAGCGTGAAGCCTACCAAGAGAATGAAAGAACTAGAAGAATGAAGAAGAGGTGGATCACCTTTGGCAAGCATTCTCAAATGATGAATAGTAATTTGCCAATAACCCTCAAAAAGAAGGTGTATAACATCTGCATCTCTCCGGTACTTACCTACAGAGCAAAACCGTGAATACCTACAAAGAGAGTTTAGTTTAAATTGAAGACGACGTAGTGACTGATGTAAGGCCAAACAATAGGTACAACCTTGAGAGAAAATGTGAGAGGAGGGTGGTCAGGCAAAAAACCAGACTTAAGGATATCATATTTGAAGTCAAGAAAAAAAAATGAACGTCGTCGGGCACGTAGTCAGGGTAACCACTACTCAATATTGGTTCCCAAAGAAGGCAAATGCACGAAAAAAGGTCAGAAAGTTAGGTGGGCCGATGAGATTAAAAAGTTCGCAGGCATGATGGTGCAGCGGAAAGTAAGAGCTAGGGTTGATTGGCGGATCATGGGAGAGGCTTTCGCCCTGCAACGGGGCATAGTGAGGCTGACGATGACGATGATTTACACCAATTGATCTATCAACTAGGCTATGGAGCAACGCAAATGTTTGTGAATGGCGTATGTGGTGGACTACCTCTCTCATGCACCCGCCCGCCCGTCATCTCGAGTGTTACGCAGACAAGCCTCTCACTTCGCCACACGTGATGGAGTTCTTTATCGCCGTAACTATGAACCTGACTTCTGCAAATTGCTACTTGCCATACCAAGGCAACTTCGCGCTCGCATATGTGCTGCTTTTCATGCTGATCTGCAGTGCGCACAGTTTGTTTAAGACTTATGCCATACTACGTCTTCAGTTTTACTGATGTGGCACGTACAAATTTGTGCAGAAGAACATTCGATCTTGCACGGAGTGTCATCACTGCAAGCCCGACGGTTGCCACCCTACTGCTCTAATGGAGCAGTTACCATGCCAAACCCGACCCTAGGGCTGAGTTAAAAGAAACCTTTATGGTCGTCTGCGGTACACATCAGCTGGGAGTCGGTGTGTTATTGTCGTGATAGACCATCCCACTTGATGATCAGAAACGGCCGCTAAGCCAGATGCAACGTGACGGTGTGTCTTTTCTGCTTCACTGCTTTGTTCTACATCAGAGCGCTCCCCGTGAACTCTTGAATGACTGAGACCAGGTCTTTCTTGCGGATACTATTAGATGGGAAGCTGCTCTAGGACTAGCCTGTGAAACGCTGTCCATCCGTGTCTCTGTGCCAACGAACCGCACCGCGCTGCCCTCGGCGCAGGTGTTGGGGTAGTGCCAAGTAGATCACGCTTTTCTTCGCAGTCCATGGTGACGTCAATCTCTCCCTATCCTGCTGCGCGCTCACCGCGTGTAACATCTCTCTGGCTTCACCCTCCCCACCGCTCGAGGTACGGCGCCATGCTCTCTACCGGGGTGCAGAAATTAGGAGCTTTCTTCCTGTTCTAATCATCACCATCGCCACCACTGGCAAACTTCAAGCGATTATCGAGTGTGCTCCTTCGACTCATTTTTCTGAAAAGGGGAGGGCACCGGAAAGTGTAGTGTCTTCGCCCGCCGAAACAGGCGCCGAAGCGATTTGGCCTAACGCAACCGTCGCCGGCGTTGCGAGGGTTGGCAGAAACGATCGTGATCGCGAAAGGCGACATCGCGCCTGCAACATCACAGTAACCGCATTAGCACCCTTCGACCCGTGACACCACCCGTGCGCAACGCTGCTTCTTCGCATTCTATCAGGGTTCGCTTTGGGAAGATGTCGACATCTTTTTTCAATAACTTCTCGCTGAATTAAACGTTATTCACTGCTGTACTACCTAATATCACTCATGCACAAACGGCCTGACCGACTGCCTTAGCCGCCCTCTTGGCGACATGCTTTTTATGTATGTGATATCCAACTACACCAACAGTTACCTTTTTCTACCCTACGAAACGTAGCTTATAAAGTGCGGGATGGTATTTTCAGTGTGATGTGGCGCGTAATACAACAATGCGGCAGCCTGAGTGGGGATGTTTCGCGACGTTTCATGGTGCATCATCGCATCCCACCACCGCGTAGCCTTTGCGGTGAACATCAAACCGGTTTCTCGGTGCGAGCGTGGCTTTGCTGGCATCAGCGACTACGGCGGCGCGACAAACATCAAGTACATTTTGCTGGTGACGTGATATTATTTCGTATTGAACAAAGCCGTGTTTGAAGTGGGCCGTGTCTGCACGACAACGCCCGTTTTGAAACCGTTAGCGAGATTGGAGATCAGGAACGGTGATGCAAGGTCATTTCAAAAAATAAACACGGCTACCGGCGTCTCTGCGCTGGCTCGTTACGTTTCCACATTTACTCTTCACATCGATGGCATTGAGAAAGTAAAAGCGTAAGCTAACGCATTACTTACGAGTGTAAAGCTTAACAGCGTTGTCAAAAACAAGCGCTCGATGACGAGTTAGCGTGTGAATGGCGTAGGCTACGGCCGGCGCCTTCCATGCTAGGCCTACCTGCCGTAGTCGTGAATAACCAGCTGTTGTCAATGTTGTAACGTGCTTGTCATCCATGGAGGCCTTATATTAATTATTTTTGTGAAAAGAAGTGTGGTTGGGCATCGTTTTTTGTTTTGAGCGTCATCAAGAGGATATGTACTCGTCCGACCGTGAATGCTGAGGCGCCGTATGCGGGTGCAGCCTGCCGCGGATAGCTTCTTCGCCCTCGTGTGTCCCGAAACGTCGCATGCGGCACACCGCACCATGCGATGCCGCACACCCCATCATACGGAAAATTGCACGTCTGTTTCTCTGGAAAATTGCACGTCAGGTGACGACAGGCTTTTCTGCCTTCCTTTTCCTGTATGATCGACAGCCATCGCCTCCAATCGACACCATTTTCCTGTACGGACCTGACCCATCCAAGGACACGCCATTTTCTGAATCTGATCAATATGCGAAAGAATGTTGGCAATTATCTCGCACCCTTACAACAGAAAAAGTGCTACAGAAATTTCGCCACGACGATAGACAGCCTCACAGCCGGTTTTTTTCCTCAACTCTATTATTTGGCCTTGAGTAAGTCCCACTTCTGTGCCCAGGTACCTCTTCAAAGGTTGTCAGCATGTACCGTGTACCCAACTGTGTTTTAGGACAAACTTCTGCTATCAAGTACCTTATCAAACCTCTGACGCCCACAGGGGACCTGCGTCGCCAAGGCCACAAAATAGTTCACGTGCATGGGTCGTCTCAAACCGAAACCCCTTACTCTCAGTACACTTTTGAACACCTACTTGGCTCCGTCTTCAGCAAGGGGAAAGATGTAATGAAGAAGTAGTTGATCATCATATATTCGTGGTCACTACGTGAGCACGAAGCACGACTGGCGCGTGCAGGACGTTATTCTTGTTATCGCTGGCTAGGCCTATGCTCCTGTTGTTTCTGAAGTAACAGTTAGCTTGTCAATTGGCCTCAAGGCTTTATTCACAACTTTCACCACCTAGATAGGGCGCTGGTGCAAGCCCAACATGGATGTAGTTTAAGGGATCGTGCAGCCGGCGCACCGGCAGCCACCACCGGTGTGCCCGTCACTTCAACCTGTGTAGTGTTTTCGGCTGCAGCCACCGTGTTGTCAAGGCTTTGTTGAGAAGGTCATTGCCCCTAGCATGTAATATATCCGACACTGCGTGTTGAGAAACGCGTGTGCGGTGTATATTGAAGGAAAAGAAGTTTTGAACGCCGAGCACATTGTCTGCTGCGGTGTACAGCTTTGTAAACGCTGCTCGTGCCACGGCCGGAGAAGACCAAGCGGCCGTGCTCGTGCAAAGCAGGAAACCTCGCCTTTGACTGCACGGCGTCTGGACAGCGGCATCCAACATATTTTGGGATTCTTATAGCTCAGCAAGCAAACAAGAAATAATAAATTATTGCTACTACGACTCGCAGTAAATGTCTGACTTCACAATAACCATAGTAGAAATTGCCAGCGACAAAATATAAAGCCACAGCGGGCGTTCAAAGTGAGGCCGACTGAACGATGGCATGGGCTGGCTCGGTGGGCATCCCCCAAACGTCAGTTAAGACGGATGCCGCATGGCGACACCACAATCTGTGAAAGTTATGAATCATATATCTCTGTTGGTATAGCAGGCTCTCCCATCTCTGCCCTTCTTTCATATTACGCCATGGCTCCATAACAGCACCATGCCTGTCAAGTTAAGGAAATGTGGTGTCACCGTCCAGATTGCAGGTCATTGTTACGTCAAGGTCCACAGGGGGACAAGACGTATTTTGCAGTATGTTTACTATATTCCCGATAATAAGCCAAGATGGAGGAGAGAGTGCCCATTACACCAAAGTCATGTCATCCTCTTTGGTACCTCTCTTGCTGCGAAATATTTTTATAGCAATTGGATCAGCGACTCTAAGAAAACGTTCCTTTTGGTCTTATTTCCAACATTTTATTACAATGTATTAGCGTTGGATTACCCACTGGCCTGTGCAATGCAGTTCATTGATTGATTTGTGGGGTTTAACGTCCCAAAACTACCATATGATTATGAGAGACGCCGTAGTGGAGGGCTCCGAAAATTTTGACCACCTGGGGTTCTTTATCGTGCACCCAAATCTGAGCACACGGGCCTCGACATTTCCGCCTCCATCGGAAATGCAGCCGCCGCAGCCGGGATTTGAACCCGCCACCTGCGGGTCAGCAGCCGAGTACCTTAGCCACTAGACCACCGCGGCGGGGCTGCAATGCAGTTCACTCGAGCAAGTTAGTTCTTCAAGGCCTTCAAGACGAGAACATCTGCTCTTGGGTGATTAAGCGCAACAGCATCGGCTTATTGACTTTAGCAGTATCCGTCTTTGGCAGGGAATCAACGAAGAAGACACCGCCATGGAGGTACTTGTGCGCGGCGAGATGACCTGCGTTCAAAAAGCAGAATGAAAGTAGCACTGTGTTGATATTTTGAATGTTATCATCAAATGCTCTGCAGAAACTATAAATGTACTGAACAAGCCATCAAGGCGACCATATTACTTGCATTTGGTAGAGCTGAATTTCATATAATGAATAAATCTTAGCTGGATGTTTCAACCCTTTTCAAACAAAAAGTCGAAAACTCAAATGTAAGGCCCTCTTGCGCTGGCCCATAATTTTCGGTTTTCCTGAGAAAAAAGCGCAAGAATCTACAATCATTATTTTAATTATTTGCAATGCTTTTCTTATTACTATTACATTTTGAAAATTATATGGTTTTTTGTATTCATTCGAACGTCATAAAAATTATGGCTTATGCAAAACGACTGCATAAGCTGTGAAGTGGGGCATTCATTTATACAACTCCAATCTCAAAGCCCACAGAAGCGTCGGTGAGCGTACCACTTCCAAATTTGGTGACATTAGTTGATTACAGCGAAAGCAGTACATAGCTCGGAAAAACAAAAAAAAAACCCGTCCGGTAGCGATTACACGAGCGGTTTTCATTGGCTGTTACGGAATTCTAAGCATCATAACTAAGCATGTGCGCTATTGGCTGCATCGTGAGTTACGGCCTACATCTAGTCACATTCAAGGCGCCTAGCGCCCGGGAATCAGTTTCTTCTGAAACCTTCCACGCGAATGTATGCCAGGGACAACTCTAGAAGAGCGCCGACGGTGGAAACGTTAATCTTGAATTCACCGGTGCAATGGTGACGTCTAGGCACAAAAACAGGCCCGGGAGGCGGAGGGCCGGCAGCATCTGCGTACAGATGATTCGGCAGCTTTTAAGCCGCGCTGAATCACGAACGAGAATGCAAGCGCCCGTGGTGGGCGTTTCCTGCAAACCACGCTGCCAAGTGAGCTCGCGATGTGAAACACTTTCAACAACGCCGCTCCGAGCAATGAGGCGCGGTTCTTGAAGAAGAGAAAATTCTCCTAATTTCTTTCTGTATATAGGCGGCATGACGCAGTGCCTACGCCGAACAAGCGGCATTGCGGTGTCAAGGTGATGATTCCGAGAGCACGCTCACCGGGCCAATCGCCCGCTTTCGGCGGCACTTTTTGTAGCGGCTGTTTGGCTTCGGCAGCGAAGTCTGTGACCACCTGTGATTCGAAAACACCACTCTGAATAATGCATCGAAAAACGCATTTTGTCGCTAATCGCACTCCTCCATCTCCTTACTATTGCGAGAAAACAATGCGCGGCAATGAGCTAAACACTGTAACAAATACAAGCCAAACGTGTCTCTAAATTCATAAAGCACGAACATGTAACCAGTAATGTGGAAGGCTTCAGTTAAACCACGGATGGAACCCACTGCTGAACACCAGGGTCGCACGTTTCAGGTTTTGATGGGTAACCACTTGCACGGACTGCTTGAGCAATTATTTTTTCGTTTTCTTACCTCTTCTTTCGTAGAAAGCATTTTTATTAAATCTTAGTCAAAAGAATTTTACTGCTGAATAGGGCATATAATTCATATGGCGTAGCCCAATGCGATAGAGACAGAGAAGGAGGGCACGCACCCTTAGAACAAACTTGCAACCTAACATTTTATTGGCGATGACACCTGCCCTTCATACAAGAGTAGATCGATAAAACCGAGGGACAACATGTAAACACAGCAAAGGCAATGCGCCTGTTATCACTATTCACAATAATCTGCACCCGCCTTCGTCAAATATACCATTACAGATACTTGTTTTTTTTGCTCATAAATATAAGCATGGCACTTCCACACCTTTTTCTTTCATTTCGTCAATTTGATACCTTCAAATGTTTCGCGCTTTGTTTTTCTACAAATTCTGATGAGAATATAGGTGTTTTGAAGCATTCAGACGGAACCACAAGTCTGAAAGTGAACTTTTATATCAAGAGTTAAAGCTTTTTCAGCAGTGCTCTGGTGTTCCCTAAGTGTTTAGTTTCGCAACTTCCAGTTTGACATATGTACACGCGTTCGTGTGTCAAAAGAACACAAAAGAGCTCCAATAAAACATTACACTGATTGGTTACAATTAAACGTCTTAAAAAAAGCTTGGTCCTTAGGTATATGAATATGGCTACTCCTGCTATTGCATAATAGTTGGCGTTGACATTTCTCATAAAGGGGAAACCTCGAAGATTTATAAAACAGTTAATATTACGCTTTTTACAGAAAGTAATCACAAATGCTGCTATATTCCATTCCCTCCCCACACGCGCGGCGAGCGATATCAGGCGATTACTACAGCTTACGCCGTGGTCGCGCACCACGTTTGATATGTTGGCAGCGGACTACGCACTGCAGGCCGGAGCAGAAAGGAAGTGCAATCTAGCAGCGCTTGTCTACCAGCCGAAACTCGTTACTTTTTTGTTTTGCAAGAGATGACGCTGAAATCGAACGTGTTTTCTTTTTCTGTCGGTAGATGGTACAGTAGGCACCCGCCACAGAGTGCGGGACACGTGCTCGCGTGTTCCCTTTCATAAAGAACGACAGTGTACATGTAGCGCAGTTGGTTCTTCATGACTTACGCAAGAAGCTTTCAACGTAGCCAGTGTTTAGGCAAAGAATATGAGTAATAATATTCTTGGTGTTAGAGGTACACTGACCAGGTTTGACGATATGAAACTGACAAGCGCAGTGCGTATATGGGGCGTTCACGATCACGTCTGCAAAAATTTGCAATGCTAAGCGCAATGGAAATAGATCAAATTGCAAGATAAATGCTGGTCCTCCTTCCTTTTGCGGGCACACGCCCAAAGAATCAGGACATGACATGCAGGGATGAATTGCCCTACGTACACGACAGCGCAGTGACGCTGGTCCTTTACGTAGACGACTGTGCTATGATGTTGCCAACTGTGCAGGTGACATGGCTAAAATTACTTAACACGACATGTGCAGTTTATACAAGATGTTGGTTCAAAAGATTATTAAGACTTGAGATAAATAATGAGACGCAGTAAGAGAATGTGTGCGTCTTTATCGCATTCTTTTCACGCATTTGCAACGAGATGCGGGGCTAATGTGCCTGCGTTCCGCATGCGTTCGTTTCCCGGCGGTTTGCGCATCAAGCAGATGCATGTCTCGGAAAATAGTTCAATTCTCCCGCCCATTCAAGCACTCATTAGGGACTTTTATCTGACCACTTTTGCGCTTCGTTTCTCTTTCCGTTCAACGTTACCGGATCGCAAGGCTCGTTTTCAGCTTTAGCCACTCGTCGTGCGGTCACTGCTATCCCTGCGCTATCAGTGCATGAAAGTTTTTTTTTAAAATAAAGTAAACATAGTTCTTATCTTGCAGCAAGATGGAAATACCTGATTTGGAAGAGTCCATTCATTTGCTGCTTGATGCATGAGCATTGTTTTTTTCATTTTTTATCACCTTCACTTGGAGCTGGACCAGAATCGAATTCAAGCAGCCCAAACGCATTTCAAGCGCCCTACCCCAAGGCAGCGCGTTCACCGCGATGACTTGTGGCAAACCAAACTAAAAAGCTTTGCTGAATAGGTGGAAGAGTGACTGCTGGTAATTACGAAATCGTTAGTGTTGTTACAAAGAATTGCTTAGTATCAAAGATTTGTGAAGTTCCTTTGTTGGAAAGACCAAAAAAGCGTCTGTAGATGCTCCTTTGTGGTCTGAAGTGTCAGCTCTAGATCGTTTTTGGGAACTTAAGCCCACATGGACGGATTCTCCAAGGAATTGGCTGTAACAAGATTTTGGAAGAGGTACAAATCCTTGTGTGTCTTGAAGTGCCGTCTGTGCTTGCGTGTTTCTTGAACAACCACTGCGTTTACCGAGCAGTGTGGACTCGTGGCACAAGAGGCTGCCATTTCGGTTGGTTCTGCTCAGGACACGCGATACTTCGCCCGGTACGACGTTCCACTCACATGCTCAGTGCCTGTCCGTATGACGCATGCGCAGTGGCGCAACCACCTACTGGCTGAGAGAAGCGGGAGCCAAAGTACGGTCAGCTAAAAGACCCTATAATATATGCTCATCAATTCTATAGTGTCTACGCCATTGTTTCAAACCATTCCGCAGAAAAAGGCACAGGTCAGAAAACAATGCTGGTCAACGAAACAACGTCGCTCGCGTGCTTGAGAGTTGGGCTTGTTCGGGCACGTCATGCGCACTTTACTTCATGGTCAGACGCCGGACAGGGTAGGGAAGATATTTATCTTGCAAACGCTACGCGGAGGAGCGGCAAGAGTTTAGAGCTCGCCTCCTCTCATCCTCGTTTTTCGCCGCTTTAAAGAAACAGTTTTCGCAGCTTGTAATGAATCGATTGCAAAAAAAGATGCTTGTGGCATAATTCTCTTCATCGGACACGCAACTACTTCCACCTTTCCACGGTTTAGCTAAAATTCGATATTGGGCCTCGGGAGCGGATTTTTAAAAGCCCCAGAACCAGGTTATGAGAGACGCCTTATACAGGGCTCTTGATAATTCGACCACTTAGGGCTCTTGGACGTTCAAATAAATTTTTGAGCACAAACCTCAGACGTTTTTGCTTCCCTCGAAAGTGCAGCCGCCGTGGTCGGGATCAAATCGCGCGACCTCCACGTCAGCAGCCGGGTGCCTCAGCTGCTAAACCACCGTAGCAGATAAAACGTCTATGAAGCACTATGAAGTCTATGGAGTATGAGTACAAGTATATGAAGCGGGTATTTTATTCGTCATCATAAATTTTCTTCTAGAACTAATTTTTGATAAACGAAAGCCTTAAGCACATTTGGCGTACCAAACCTTTTGCACAATTGGCTGCATAGTTTGTTGAATAGATATTGTGCATCGTTGACAGCGCAATCTAGTCAAGGAGGAGGAGAATGGAAAGAGGAAGGAGAGGGAGGTTAGAAATCTAGTCAAAATCATCGTGGTATCTATGCGCTGCGTGTGCCATACAGTGAGGTGTGAGATTTCCTGCGATTTAGCAGTGGCTTGTAATCTACAAGAATGCT